CCGTGCATTTCATACTATGTTTTTCACGTATTTGCCGTTTCTGATAAAATAAGAAATTTTGCCTTCACGTTTGAAGTGAATATTTAATATGTAATTTGGGGGGAAAATATAAAAAGGGAGATAATTTAGCAAAAATACCTGTCAGGATCATCTGTCCTTTAGAAATGCATTAGTACTTTTATATGAAATAAGTATTTAAGTTTAACGTGAATATGTTTGAAATTAGCCGTAACCAAAAGGTTAATCAGAGCGAAAGCATCTAAGAGAAATAAGGGGAATAAATTTGCAAACTATATCTAGAATTATCTGCCCTTTGATATTGCATCATATGATCATAGTTAACAAATAAACCACATTTAAAGAAAATTCGGTAGTGTCTGAGAAAATAAATGAAATTACTTAAACCAAATTCTGAGAGCGACAATAACATAATACCTTTAATCTGTTGTCAATCAGGGTTACAAATGAAAATGGGAAACAAAAGAAAAATACTTATCTATTGAGAATTTAGTATCAATTATCCTTTCTATCCTAAAGAATACATTATATAGCTGTTCAAAACCTCGATATTTAGGTTCATAAAAGAAAACAAGTAAAACAAAGATGGTAATTACAATAAAATAACTATGAGAATGTTAAAAGGTAATATAATACTACTTTAAATGAATTTACATCTTGCGACATTTAACGGTAGTGTTGCGACATTTAACTGTAAGGGAAATTCGTGCGACATTTAACGTTAACATTGCGACATTTAACGGCAAATGATTTTGCGACATTTAGCGGCGGTTGCGACATTTAGCGGCAATGGTGCGACATTTAGCAGCAAGTGCGACATTTAGCGGCGTTGCGACATTTAACGGCGCCACATTTGTGACCGCTTAAATACACTGTGTAAGATACAATATTCTTAATGAGTATCACTGTTAGACGAAATGCGTTTTTTCTCGTTGTTGTTTTTTCTTTCTTTTTCTTTTTTTATGTGCATAGATATCACGAGTTTAGATGTATGAAAACAAAAAGGATACACATTGTTCCTCAGGAAAAACTCTCTTGAGGCGTTAAATCTTCACATAAAGAAGTATAATAAAACATTCTGAATATACAAGTACAATTTAACATTTATGAAAATGTTGTTATTGTTATTTACGTTAATTATCATCTAAATAGCTTGTAAAAAAATCGTATTCGGGGGACATAATGGGCCTTTAACTATTATCTTAACAGCTTGTTAATCAATTCATAGACAAATTATGAATGATTTATCAAACAAACTAATGTTATTTTTCTTATTTTCTCGGTATCTTTCTCAGAAATATCATTCCTATGGACCATTCATGTTCTGTGTATATTTTGATTCTATTGTTTATGTGAAAATAAGGACGTTTAATGAATTATTGTTTCCTAAATAAAGAAACATATTATATAACAATATATTTTAATATCTAAATAGTTGAAGATGATTGTTGTCAGAATATAAATGTCTTACAATTCTGAAATCGTTCGTCATGGTGAAAATGATATAAAACATTTACTGACAATAGTTTTGTTGATGATATGAGCTTATAACTGTTAACCACAGCTGTGTGTTACCGTTTATATGCACATTGTTACCATGACGTTGTAAAGAAAGTCTACAAAAACAACATTATTGTCGTGTCTTCCAATAAAAATAATATCTTATAATCGTAGAAAAATACTTGAATATCAATCAAAATATATTTTCATTAAAAAGTGATTGCATTATTTATCGACCGTGGCGGAAAAATATGTTAAATTTTTTTTTAAAGATATTACAGTTTATTACCGTCTCGGAGAATTCGAACCTGCAATATCCTGATCCGTAGTCGGGCGCCTTATCCATTGGGCCACGGGACCACTTTCATGCTATGTGTAGCAATACAATATTTATAATGTTAACCTTGTTCCAATTTGGTATGATATACCACGCACGTTTCCACTTAGCAAAGTTAAAGGATTTCATAAAGTGAGATAAGAGATAAGTTCAAAGCACAGAAAGGTGGTATAAAAAATCGTAGTAACACAGTCTACAAAAACACGTCATTTTCGTGTCTGTATATACAATCTCAACATATTTTACGTGAAAAAAATGAGTATTAAAATGTACGTTAATTATAACCTAAAATAGTTTAACAATAGCTCGTTCATTTGTAATTTATTAATAATTGTTTAGGAGACAAAATGAATAAACAAGTAAATATTCTTTTAGGGTTAAACGTGTTTGAATATTTTAAGGCCACTTGAATAGTCATAATTAATATATTTTCATAATCAGAGTTAACCGGAATATTAATAAATGCAAAATATTTGATCACAACACAGAACTCGAACAGGCAGTGTCCTGATCTCTGGTCAGACTCTTTATCCATTCAGCTGAAATTATCTGAAAAAATTCTGAAACAATTACTGACAATATCTGTATTGATAATAAGAGATGATAACAGATAAGCACAGCTGTGTATTGTTGTTTATTCACACATTGTTGCATAATGTGGTGTTGTAAGTCATGCTCCTTAAACAACATTATTGACGAGTCTTTCTATACAGATATATGCTTGAATAATTTAAGAATGTATTTACATATTTCCCTGATAAAATTCATAAATGCATTCTTCATCGTTCAAAGGGAAATTATCACTTATAATTAACAGGGATTAAGAAATTTCAAAACGTGTTGGTGAAATATCTATTAACAGAATAAACAGATAAAAGCAACCCGAATGAAATCAGATATATTTTCATTTAAATATATCCGCAAAGCAGTGAAGATAAAAATATTCGATCTCGGCAGGATTCGAACCTGCAATCTCCTGATCCGTAGTCAGGCGCCTTATCCATTGGGCCACGAGACCGCATAAAATGTTGAAAATACTAATATTAGACGAAATGCGTATTTTTGTACATAGATTGTATGAAAATATATAGGATATAACAGTGTTCTTCAAGAAAAACTTTCTAGAGGCGTTTAAACGGATTTTATTACTTCACATTGAGAGGTTGTAACACAGTCTTTTAAAACAGCTTCATTTTCTTGTCTGAATATACAAGTACAATATTCTAACATTTATGAAAATGTTCCGTATTGAAATTTACTTTTATTATAACCTAAAATAGCTTTAAAAATTTTTTCTTCATCATTAATTAGCAAATTATTAATGCTTGTTCCGAAACAAAATGAAGAATCAAGTTACTATTCTTTTATGGTTAAACGTTATTAGATATTTTAAGACCATCTGAATTTAAGATTATAATTGATATATTTTCATAATCTTAGATAACCGGATTTTTTTTAATGCAAAACATTCTATATCAATGCAGTCTCCTGATCGGTGGTTAGAACCTTTATTTATTGAGATAGACATTATCTGAAAATATTCTGAGACATTTACTGTTAACTGTAAAAACATTCATAGTCAAAATATTACTGATCGTATGAAAACAAGATAAACAAGAATCAAGAAACTTCTAAAGTTAACGTGTTAAGCTATAATTGTATAAACGCTATTTCAATGTCAATTCAGACACATAAAAAATTGTTTTAAGATATAAAAGTATAATCATAATTCGAAGGTAATTTCAGATAAACTTTCACTGAAACATATTCGCCGTAAATATAAAAATATTCGATCTCGGCAGGATTCGAACCTGCAATCTCCTGATCCGTAGTCAGGCGCCTTATCCATTGGGCCACGAGACCGCTTCGATACACAGTGTCAAATTATCTGAAATACATGTACAATGTTTGTATATATCTATTATTGTAAGACGAATACGTAGATATCACCAGTTTAGATATATGAAAACATATAGGATATAACAAATTGTTCTTGTCATTTAAAATATTGAGAAAAAAAACAGTTTCTTGATAACATTTATAAATGCATTCTTCATCGTTGTTAGCGAAGTTATCACTGACTGTATAAAACCAAGAGATATCAAGAAAATTCCAAAACGTGTCATTAAAATATAATACGCAATCTGAGTGAAATCAAACTATATCAGCAACGCAGTGTCGACAAAAATATTCGATCTCGGCAGGATTCGAACCTGCAATCTTCTGATCCGTAGTCAGGCGCCTTATCATTGGGCCACGAGACCGCCTTGATACACTGAGTTCGATACAATATTCTTAATGAGTATCACTGTTAGACGAAATGCGTTTTTTTTGTTGTTTTTTTTACTTTCTTTCTTTTTTTCTTATTTTTATGTGCATAGATATCACGAGGTTAGATGTATGAAAACATAAAGGATATAACAAATTGTTCTTTCTTGAGGCGTAACATCGGACTTTGTTACTTCACATGGAGAGGTGGTAAAAGAAGTGTAATAAAACAGCTTCATTTTCGTGTCTGAATATACAAGTACAATATAACATTGAGGAAAATGTTCCTTATTGAAATTTACGTTAATTATAAACTTAATAGCCCGTAATAAAATTTGTATTTTAGGGTATAATTGGCCTTTAACCATTACTTAAATAACTGGTTATAAAATTTGTTATTGTATTGTTCACCAGTTAATAGACAAATTGAATTATTGTATCAAACCAAATACATGTAATATTATTTTTCTTATTTTTCCGACATCATTCTCAGAAATATAATCCCTATGGACCATTCACCTTCTGGGTATATTGTGATTCCATTCTATATGTGAAAATAAGGTTAATTATCAATAAGCATTGTTGTTTCTTGACTAATAGAAACATATGACAAAATAATATATTTCAATATTTCAAAAGTTTAAGATTATTGTTGTCAGAATAAAAAATGTTTTATAATATCAAAATCTCCATAAAGGTCTGCAAATGATCTAAGAGATGAATATCATAATTATGAAACATTTACTGACAAATGTTTTGTTGGTGATTATGAATTATAACTGATAAGCACAGCTGCGTTTATATGCACATTGTTATGTAATATGAGGTGGTAAACAAATCCTATTAAGAAAGACTACATAAACAACACTAGAAGCATGTCTTTCTGTTCATCAAATAATATTTCATAACATAGATAATGCTCAAATAATTATATAATGCTTTTCCATTATAACTTAAGAGTTTTTATGTGAATGCATAAAATTGTTTTAAAGTCTTAATGTAAATTCAGATAAATTGTTACTTAAATACATTCGTACTGAATATTTAAAAAAAATCCGATCTGGGCAGGATTCGAACCTGCAATCTCCTGATCCGTAGTCAAGCGCCTTATATATTGGGCCACGAGACCGCTTCCATAAACTGTGGTAGGTACAATGTTATAAATGTTTATTAATGTTAGACAAAATTTGTTTTTTAAATTAAAACATACAGATTGTTTTTTAGGAAAAGCTGTCTCGGACTGTGCTAACAAACAAGTGTTCTTTTTCTTATTTTCTCGGTAGCTTTCTCAGATATATCATTTCAATGGACCATTAAAGTTCTGTGTATATTTTGATTCTATTTTGTATCTGAAAATTAGGACAACCATAAGCATTGTTGTTTCCTGACTTATAGAAACGTATGATATAACATATATTTCAAAATCTTAATAGTTTTAAGATGATTGTTCTATGAATATAAATGACTTAAATACTGAAATCGCTATAAATACTCTGAAAATGCCCGCCGAAGTGAATATAATTTGTAACATTTACTAACAATAGTTTTGCTGTTGATAAGGAATTATAACTGATAAGTACAGCTGTGTGTTGGCGTGTATGTGTACATTGTTATGTAATATGAGGTAGAAAAGAAATTATATTAAGAAAGGCTTCTAAAGCAACAGTATTGTCATGTCTTTCTATACAAATCGTAAAGATGCTTGAATAAGTTAAAAATGTAATTTCATTATTACTTAGGAATTTTCGTGAACAAAATTAATGTGAATGTATTCTTTAACGATCGCAGGGAGGGAAAGTATGCCAAAATTGTTTTAAAGATATAACTCGAATGTAAAATCATATATATTTCTACTGAAAAGTTGAAAAACATAAAAATATTCGATCTCGGCAGGATTCGAACCTGCAATCTCCTGATCCGTAGTCAGGCGCCTTATCCATTGGGCCACGAGACCGTTATGACACGTATAACCGCAACACTGTAAAAATGTTCTATGTCATTTTAAGCCTTACATTTCAACAAGGTGTGATACACCATTTTAGAATGTATCATACTTATATGTACATGCCAGATATAACCGATTACACAAAAACCGATAACAAACAGGAGAAAACTGATCATACTGAAATGATTTCAGTTAAATATAGCTTTAAACGGAAATTAGGTTGATTTTTTATTTTAGATGCAAAATTTCTATCAAAATAGGTTTCCAACTTTAAATTTTCCTTCTTAGAATAAAATAAAACCGATTCTTTATCTAAAAGTTGCACTGGAAAAAAATCCATATGCGACACCGTCACTTGTCGCTGCAACATGTTTGAAATGGTTATAATATATTGATATACATCACAATTAAATGGTTTAAAGGGGGCTGATAAATATAAAATTGGGAGTGTGAATTGAAGATAATACAGAGAAACAAAGAGCATTAAAAATGTTCATGATAATAAACAAAAAATAAAATAGGTCCAAGTACGACTCGAACCGAAACTAAGCGAAAAAAGGTATTGCCGCTTGGCTAAATTCGACAGAATATACACTTAGCAGCAAACATACAGTGTCGTTTGGCTACATTCGATACCCATAGAATACACATTTAACAGCACAAAAATGTCGCTTGGCTACAATTGATACAACCAACACAGATCTGGGGAATATACTGCTGCTTGGTTATATTCAACTTTCAAACCAGCTGAAAGAAATATTTATATACATTGAACACTTACAGCGCAAGGATATCACAGTCTTGAAAAATTACGTTCAATCACCGGAATGGACAGATTAATATTTGTGTTTATTTAACGGTTATGCATATCATTCTTTAAGTAAATTAAAATAATTTTATTTCTTCGATTCTTTATTATAAAGATATGTCCATTATTAAGCATACATATACGGGGAAAATCGATCTCGACAGGATTCGAACCTGTAACCTCCTGATCCTTAGAGATCAATATCACATGCAACATTTACTGACATGTTTATGTTGGTGATTAGGAATTATAACTGATAAGCACAGCTGTGTGTTGGCGTTTATATGCACATTGTTATGTACTATGAGGTACAGATAAATTTTCACTTAAACACATTCGCACTGAATATAAAAAACATTCGATCTCGGCAGGATTCGAACCTGCAATCTCCTGATCCGTAGTCAGGCGCCTTATCCATTGGGCCACGAGACCACTTACATGCTGAATACAATGTTGTAAATGTTTATATATGTTAGACGAAATTTGTTTTTATATGAAAACATACAGGATATAACAAATTGTTCTGTAGGAAAAGATGTCTTATGGCGTTTAATCGGACTGTGCTATTTCACATTGAGAGGTGGTAAAAATGCCAGTAATACATTCTATTAAAACAGCTACATTTTTGTGCTTAATATAAAGGTACATTATAACATTCATGAAAGTGCTCCCTATTGAAATTTATGTAAATTATTAATTAAAAAGCATGTAAATAAAATTTGAATTCCGGGTCATAATTGACCATTACCTCAATAGCTTGTGATAAAATTGCATTCTTATATATTATTTCTATGGACCATTCAAGTTCTGTGTATATTGTGATTCCATTCTAAATGTGAAAAAAATAGGACAATCATAAGCATTGTTGTTTCCTGACTTATAGAAACGTATGATATAACATATATTTCAAAATCTTAATTGTTTTAAGATGATTGTTCTAAGAATATAAATGACTTACATTACTGAAATCGCTATAAATACAAATGTACTCAGAAAA